CTACAATGTACATGGTTACAACACTCGAAGGAAGGCTGACCTCCATCTACCCAAACCCAAACTTAGCCTTGGCAAACGTACTTTTAGATTTTCTGGCACGGCCCTTTTTAATTCACTACCTTGTAAAATCCAACAAGCTGTATCACTCTCAAAGCCCATTTTATTTATAGCACCTAATTTATGATATCTATTTTTTTCCCTACCAGTTCATGCTTGTAACTCGTTTCAATTTTTTAAACTCTTTTTATATAACTATTTCAACTACTAGACATTAGTTTTTTTTTAAGTCTATTTTTATAACTATTTTCAACTATTAGACGTTTTATATTTTTAGAAATTGTATTTAGCAGGGTCCCTCTGGATACCAGCCACTGTGCTGAATGGGCCACCCTGCATAAATAAAGTTTTACCTACCTACCTACCTGGATTGTTTGGGTCCTTTATGATTGGCCAGAGTGACCGCTTTAGTTTTGGTTTTATAATATGCAATTGAAAACCCCTCAAGTAAGACCACCCTAAGAAAACGTTGTTATGCCATAAGGAGGATTAACTTACACTTTGAGTCCTGGTGAATCTTCAGTGTAAAATCTCCACATTCCACTGCTACTGGCTGCTGTGCGAGATCTTGCTGCTGGTGTAGTGCTGCCACCTTTCCTGTTGATCAACAAAGGAATTCTCATTACCAATTGGTATAAATTCATTTTAATGTTAGTTTTGACAGTTCATTGGTACATCAAGACAGTTATCCACTGCTGACTAATTACAGTATTCTCATTACCTGTTTGTTTTAAAATGCATTGTATTGAAACGAGAATACATTATTAGATGTTGATCACAAATTACAACTAAGCATAAAGTGGCATCTCCACACATTTCTGTCCTTTGTAAAGGGCTACAATGGAGAATGCTTAAAGACGAACCAAAGTGGATGCGAAGAGAACATCAAAACCTTATGTGCCTTATGGCTTGGAGAGATATACAGGTGTAGGTGTGGGCAGATAAAAAGGTTATGCCTGTGCTTAGCACAAATAGACCCTTTTAGCTTGGGCAGTTTGTTGCCCCATTTCAGATCATGTGATGATACTCTTGAGAATTCTCGCTTTAAAATGTTCAAATAGTAGCGTGTATATGAATAAATAATATTTAGATGAATAACAGAGCAATTTTCTAGAGAATATCACATGGTCTGTAATTCAAAACAAATCACCCAGACTAAAAACATCTATTGACCACCAGCACCAGAGCTAAAGCTGGTTTCTGTAGCTCGCTCACGAAGTAGGAGTTTTGTGACTCCTTTACAAGGGAGGCTAGTTCACTTGCAAATATCCCTCAGTAATTGGTCAGATTTCCCTAACAGTTTTACTCCTCCGAGAAGAGAGACAGTTAGACAATAATGAGTCCAGTATCTGAAGTCTAGCACACTAGGTAATAGATCACTAAAATGTGCCACAGCTTTACTTAAGTCTTCCAAAACCCAAGATAACTAAGATCATGTGAGCTAAATTCCAAAGATTGGCAAAGCTTCACCAAAGATTCTGAAGATTTACCAATGACCCCCAGATGACAATGAAAGATTACAACAAATGTTTGCATGAGAGAACATCAGTCTACACAAAGAAATAAAACCTAGTTGTTCTTTACTATGCAGTAAATGTGCAATAAACAAATAATGGCATGTTGAAAGCCTATACATTTTGTTTGCTCTTCTAATACCATTTGCTCATTACATTGAAGGCTTGGCTTGCTTGCAACATGGCATTAAAAGCGCATGACAAAGAGCAGTATCAAGATCTTGTCATATAATAATCAGTATTTATTACATGTTAAGAGTGGATATCAAAGTGATCATGATTTGAATAAAATCTATACAATCAACAAAGGACTATTGTATCATTTCCCCAGAAATGATAAACTGTTACTTCACTGGTTGAATAGATATACAAGAATCCTCGCTCACTCAGTCTTGCATGTTTGCGATATGATATTAAGAACTTGCAAGTATGAATAACATGAGGCTCTTTGTCTGTGACAATCGAAATTTATTTCTTTAAAAATGCCTGGAGTTCAGTCTAGTTAATTATACTATTGATTGAATCTTTTATTTCAAAATTCCTACAAGTTATTTTCAATCAAGTTTTTTTGGTGGGTTAAAAGAAATTGTCATCAACTGTAATGAATAAATACCCTAATGACGACCACAACAATGTCAATTAAAGGCAGTCAATTCTTCAGTTAATACTGTAATAAAGTTCATTACAGTTGCCCAGATCCTGTGTAAACATTGAACTGAAAAAGTTGAACTGAAAAACACCTTGGAAATGGTTCACTTCCAATATACAGCAAGGTTTAAAATTATCTCTCTTCTGGAGTGACAAAATCAGCACCAGCTATGGTTTTGCTCGAAAATAAATTTCCCAATTTGGACCGGTACAAACATTGCCTCTTTTTTTTCAACTCTGACACAAAGCTTAAAACATAGCTCGAAGAATCACGCAAATATGAAGTCAACAAACTCGAAAAATGAAACAAAAGCCAAATAATAGAAGAATAAAGAACAAACAAACGAGGTTGATCCTTCACTTTCTACGTACAAGAACTAGATGTGTGAAGATTTACGAAGAGAACACTCTTTACCTTTGCTTCACTTGTGAACCGCCAGACGAACGAGGGGTAACAGATTTTGAGCCCGATCTACCGCCTCCGACGCTCGTGGAAGAAGCTGATTGAACCTGTAGTTGAACAAGAGAAATACATTAAGAAAATGCCTTAAATTTATAGATTTATCGTGAAGAAAGCCGTGATTTTCTTCAGTTGTAATTCAGCGTTCTCACCATTGTGATGACTCGTCTTTTAGCACACAAAGAGGAAGAAGAAGCGTGACGTCAGGGGTCTCCCATCTGTCATTGCGATACGAGTGCTGGTGGGGATTCGGTACCAGGCTTCCGATTAGACTTCGCACTGTTGGTTCCAGTGTTTCAAAAAAAAAAAACATATTGAAGATGTTATACTGCACGTACCTCGGTCCACGGATTGAAGTACTTTAAAAAGGATTAAATTTAAAATATGCGTCAGTTAAAAACATAGGCCAATATTTAGTTTTTGGCTGTAGTGTGCAATCAGTTTACACTATAACGAGGTATCAAATTTCATGTTTAACTTCTTTTTTATTCTTTTCTTCTAATTTTCATTTGTTTGCTCAAGACTACATTAGCTCGTTTCTGAAACCCATCTATTGCAAAGATTCTGCAGGGGATTGACAAGAAATTTCGCCACCCGTTCATATTCATCTCTTCACACTTTTCATATGACCGTATAAAACCAATTTGAACCAGGCGGAGTGTTTCAGCTAAATTATTTATCAAGGTTGAGCTATCTGAATGATCATGGACACGAGGTGTAAAGACAAACCTGAACGGATGTTTGTATCGACATGTGAAATCCAAGTAAGTCTTATCGAGACAAGGAGTTTTATATCGCGGTCTTCGCGCGCAAGCTCTTATTGGCTAGAATCCAACAAGACAGTTGTCCCTACCGTGACTTCTTTCATTTATCACCTGTTTTCAACTGCAGCTCAAAATGCCAGCTAATCAAGCAACTCTAGGCCGACTGGAAGCCGTGTTGGCTCGTTTGGAAGTCGTAGCGGCTAAACTGGGCGTCGAGGGATCTTTCAAGAAGGGTAGCTCCCAAAGCGCGTCAGATATCAAGGCCTTGGTCGAGCGCCTAGAAGCTGCCGCGGACAAACTCGAACAACAATCTGCTTCAGGCGGTGAAGGTATAGATATTTTTTGTCTTCGGAGGTTTCTTTAATTTTATTCGAAAACAAAAAAATATAACCAAGAAGAGGAAGCGTATTATAACAATTTTTAATTGCTTCTTCGCACAGGATCAGGGAAGATCGTTGAATACTATGACGAGGTGAGAAGTGCTTCCGACGAGTTGTGCGTTCAGCGTCTGTTTATAATAACCAACTTCACGGATAAATTATAATTAAAAATTAAATTTCTCTCATTTTTTTAACAATGTCTTGTAGTTTCTGAAAGGAAAGCTCCAATCCTTTTTCAAGTTATCGGATGAATTGGGAGGCGATGTGAAAACCCAGGTATGAAGATTTAACTTGCGTGACTTGAACTGTCTAGAATATTTTCATGATGTTTATTTCACTTACTTCGCTGTTTATTTCACTTTCAGGCTGATTTGGTAAAGAAAGCCTTTCAAGCACTGAGAGTATTTCTCGTGAAAGCTTCAAATACAAAATTACCGTCTAAAGTAAGAGAATTTTATGATAAGTCAGAGTAAAAATCATTAGCCAGCAGACATGCGAGGTATTTAAATTAGGGTGTCAATAGTATGGTAATGTTTTCTTCCAGTTTGTGATTGGCCAGTTTTTCTGGTCACGATAACATCGTATTAAACAACGTCACGATGTGATGCAAAGGAGGCGAGCGTATGTGAAAGCCGGAGCAAGAAAAAAGAAAGAACTGGAAATGAACAAATGAGGTCCTGATCCTCGGTTTCTTTCGCGCGCAGCCGTCGTTTTAGTGTCTTCATGTAACGTAGCCGTTCGTGGGGGAGGAAAGTCCAAAGGGCTTCTACGTAGGACCGTATAGTCTGCAGAACAGGCAAATTAGCGGGGCATAGAGCGAAACGCGATACACGAGCAAAGAGCGCGAGCACGAGCGCGAAGCGCGAGACGAAAGAAATCCATTTTCTTTCGTCTCGCGCTTCGTGCTCGGGGTCGCGCTCCGCGCTCGTGTCTCATGTTTCGTTCTCTGCCTCGTCAATCTGCCTGTTCTGCAGGCTAAGGAGCGTAACGCTACCTACATACGTTTATGTGGGGACTAGTAGGTGGGGCGTTGCGTGACGACCCTACTCGGCGGTGTCAAAAAAAGAGAAATTTTAGAGTTGAAGTGAATTAAATTGAAATTATCACCAGCAAAAAAAAAAATAATGTAATAACGCGTTGGCTGTTTTTTTTCTTTAAGAGACAATATTTTCTATAAGATGAATTCAAAGCCTACATGCAGATATACAAATATAGTTTTTTGTTCAACTAAGTTTACAACTTGTTCCTTTTTTTCCAGAATGAGCTAGTATCAATGATACAACCCATTGCTCAGCTGAGAGAAGAAATAGAGGTAGTAAGCGTTTATTACTTGTAACTGTCTGTTGGCCAGATGGGGTAGTTTAAATCTTCCACTTTTTATCAGTTCTCGTACCCAGACGCCTTCACGCTCGGTCAAGGTCTGTGAAAACTTGATGCCAGCGACCAACCGCTGATCATTAACGAGCAGAAGACTCTAAGGGTGACATTGAAGTGGTTTAAAGAAGTAGTTTTGCTATTAAATTAGCTGAATCGTCCTCATTTCTTTCGGGCACGAAATGAAAATTGAGTTGTACTAATGTAGTCCCGGAGCGCTNATGCATATGTAAATGTTTTTCTTGAACGTTCCTTACGCGCAAATGAAGGTCATATTGGTGTTAATGAGAGTTTAATGATCATAATGAAAGAAACTTGGAAACAAATGAATGTTTGTTTTCTGTAAATGAACAGCAAAAGGTGTAATCATACGGTTTTTCTCGTTCAATTTGGAATTAATTTGCACTTGTGAGTTTTTTTAAAAGTCACTCGTGCAAATTAATTCCAAATTGAACTGGAAACCGTATGATTACCTAAACTAACTAAATGTGCATTACAAATTAAGAGAAACTGGAGACCTTAAATGAGTATAACAGTATACGTTATATTGTACACTTCACAACCAAAAATAACGGAGTCTCGCTATTACGGACACCAAGTGAAGGTCGCGAGGGTGTCCGCTGTAACGAGAGTTGACTTTATAGTGCAATTGTAACCATTCATAAGTGATGACCAATTTGTAAAATCCCTCCAACACACACAAAAATATGTCAGTGTTCCACGAAGGGTTTCAAGTAAATATTTTGTTTTGTTATCTTAAATTCTCGAAGAAAATATCCTTTAAAAGCAAAATATAAACAATTTTTTTTTTTGCATTTCTCTCAGTGGGAGATAAATTGAAAAGCTTTGGAAGCATGCAAGACAAAAGAATTGAAAGTAGAGTTAATTCAGCTTAAAAGGCATTGAAAATGAATTTTGTTTGTTTGTCCGTATCCATGAGAATCAAAGAAACGTTTCAATCAAATCTATTCTTCGAGAAGTCATTCTTGTGTGACCAATCCATCCGAGGGGATTAAGATGAAAAAATATGAGCGAACAAACAATGGCAGGTTTGCTTAATCGTTTTTATTTTGTCTTTTTCAAGTGCGTTTTCAGAAAAGACTACAGCAAAGCGATTTATCACTGCAACCAAAATCTCAGGCACAAGTGCCCCAATCCAACATTTAACAAAATGTAAATGTTATCATCCCTTTTGGATAAAATAGGGCCCGTCTACATGCATTTCAATCTTGATAGAACAGCTGGGCTGTAAAGGACAGTTTAATCAGTAAATCGCCATTTAAACCTCCGACAAACTTGACAAATATAAACATACGGCTTGATTTTTTGATCCTTTATTCCTTGCTGAAACCATTCCTGATTTTCCAGTTACTATCATGGTTTCCTGGAAACAAACTGGAAACTATGAATAATTCATACTCTTCCGATAGCTGTATGCTCTCTGCGTTTACATAATTATTAACTATCCGCTATAAGACCACAATTGTAAGTGCGCAATATTTCTTCGTCGGACTAGATGGCACAAGTTGAACATACACTGGTTTGAACATCTACTGGTATTGTCATCACTTACTGAAGATGAACGCTCGCGTTGCACCTTTCGTAGGTAAGTTTACAGAATGTGTCCTCCGTGTAATTACAACGCTACGTAAGCTTGATAAGCTTAAATATGTGCGAGATGCACTTCCTTAGCTGTTCCCTGCGTTGCCTTAGCTGGCAATTGCTCTTCGTTTAATAACTTGTTGCCCCCTTACTTAACGGTGCGAGCAGTTTCAGTTTGTTAACAGTTATCTATGTTTGAAATCACTGATGCAGATTTGGAAGATGGTATTGTCACTAAAGACCACGATGTAGAGCTGACAGAGGCCTCGCAGCTTCCTGGCCAAACTGCTCAGACGTCTGTCCACGACAACACGGCGTCTAACCTACGGAGAAGAAACTCTGGAACCAGAGGTTCTCTGAAAGACAACACTGAGTTGTCACTACAGAACCTGGCCATGACTCAGCGGTTACCCAACTGTAGTTCACAGAGGTCTGTACATGGAGTCGGAGTCAGGAGAAACTCTGCTAGACGAGCTACTATAAGAAACGACATCGAGCTCTTGTCCGCGATTGATGTTGTCGACGATTTAGACGTGGAAGAAGAATTGGCAGATCCAAAAATTGTTACGCGGCCAATGTCAGAAAGGAGGCGATTGAGGTAAGATCAAGTCTGTCACTGTCTTAATGAGTTAGTCACAAAGCTCTTTATCTTTATTTATTTATTTATTTAGTTATATTTTTATTTCTTATTTTTTTTTTACTGTATTAGCTAAATAAAGATATAAGTCGGCTTAGCACATCGCACAGTTCAATTGCGAATAAAATCTGTAAATATTAGCCAGCTGGCATGGCCGGGCTTCATTATGTCACTTTAAACGAGTTTGACGAGCACACTCTTTCGGACTTTTTCGAAAGAAAAGTATTTTATCACCCGCTGATTTTCTGTAATGTCATGATTAAGGTTCAATGATCAAGTTTTGAAAGGTAGAATTGTTTACTCGGTTCTGCACCTGTCGTATAGCGTTTCGTACGTGGTATAAGGTTCGTTGACGCACCAGCGTAATAGTTTATTGTTTCACCTCGTTGTTTGATGAACTGATTGTAAAGACTGAATTAATGTCGAGCAATTGAAAAACTTTGCGTAGCATTTGCTATTTATACAAGCAGCATTTCATAGTAAATGGTTTTAACCCAGGAGTATCAGAACCCAGGAGTATCAGTAGTCACCAACAACAGTTCTTTTCAGAACTACACTCACCCGGACGATCACACTATACGAACTACAGGCAACATTTGTCAACAGGATAAAGTTTCGATGAGTTCAAACAAAAAACGGTTCAAAAAACAAACGGTTTGGCTGGCAAATTCATCTGTTTTGTTATGCACCGATTGTAATCATGGCAGAAAGAAGTGTGAATAAATAATCTTGATTCCCAAAGGAGGGCGCGCAGTCATTTTGATTACCTTTCACATGGCAAATAAAGTTTAAAGTGACACTATAGGACGGTTACACTTCAACCAAAAGTTCCGAACTCTCGAAACGGGGGTAAATGGTACAGAAATCTCTTAGGAAAGTTTCCGGAAATTCGGAAAACTGGATTCACGGAAACGCAGCTTAATTTCTACGGTTAGGCCAACCGTCCACACTAATCCGGCACGAAAACGGAGCTTTTTGAAGACGCAATTCAAACCGGTGGAATTTGAAAACGCCGGCTTTGCGTTTTAGTGTGAACGGAAAACACTTTGAAAACGCAGCTTATCGAAAACGATGACTTCACGATAATCAAGTGATTTCCCCCGCCCAATTTATTTTTTTTAAATACGAATCCACAATGACTGGTGATTGTTGCGTTTTCAAATTTCTTGGGCCGGCGCAGTGTGGACGGAAAACATTTGATACGTCAGTCAGGGTGAAAACGCCATTTTCAAATTTCTCCGGTGTAATTTGGACGGGGCGTGAATTTTCGTATCGTGAAAGATTCAACCAAAAATTCCTGAAGAAAATCGAACGGGACAGAAATTCCCGATAAAAAGTTTTCGAAAATTTGGGCATACCTCTTAAAGTTGTCTACTTTTACTGAAATTCTGGAATATACTGCTCCATTCGCCACTAGAAATTTCTGGAAATTCAAACCGTGCCGCAAAAGGCCTTTAACTCGATCGCGCTCGCACTGTTTCCGTTTTACTAGATAGCCAGTGCTGAAGAAGCCCAGAGAGATAAATTAAAACGGTTCTCCGTGACTGCAATTTGGTCCAGCATTTTAATCAAATTATACACAGTTCAAACAAGCGTAGTCTTTTAACTTAAAAGGAGAACAGCGTGTTTCAAATTCACTGCACATGCGCTAGGCCTGCCGTGAAGTGCCGTTCACTCAGAACTCAAAGTAACATCCCGGACCGTCCTAACCGACCGTTCTTTTAGCGTTATTCAAGGACTATTGGCTTCCTATACAATGCCACACCAGAAGTTGTTTGTCTCGTTCAAATGACGTGTAGGTGTCCATTTCAGCAATAGACCTTGGCACATATTATGATCTCAAAATTGAGTTCAATTTCCCGCCTTCATTTGTGTCATCTTCGAAAATGGGCTATTATGATCGGAATTATGCTCGACTCTGGCTACTATGCTGTGATTGAGACAGTTACTTCGTTGTTATTGGTTGCTATCGGACTCAATTTTCCTCCGTAATTTTCTTAGTAATTGTCTAGTTAATTTTTCTTTCAAATTTCACTCGCCTGAATTCGAAGATTCGAGCAACTTTGAATGAATTTTCAATTGTCACTCGTACTGTAAATCCTTAATTGCAGTTGCATTCATTCCATTACCTAAAATAATTATAACAAGACAGAAGGTTGTCAAATTGAACAGATGTAACTGGACACCCCCAGTATAGCGCTGCAATTGCTAAACGAACCAATCTGAAACACGAATTATTTTGTTATCCCACGATTTTGTCACTACTTGACTGTGGTCATCATCTTAATAAATCAAAGAAAAATTATAGCTCTCAAGCCTCAGTTTACTGTAATTCGGAAATGGCATTCATTGTGTAAGGCTATTCCGAGGAATAATAATAAAGTTTCTTGGGGCTGCATGCACGTGCGATAAAAGAAATATTTACCGGAGACCAGGATAAAATTGACTTTGTTTCCATTTAATTCAGGCTGATTCGTGTGAATTTCTCTAATTTCAGGAAATCAATTAAAGACAGAGAGAAAGTCGTCAGGGGATTGAAAAAGAACCGCATCTCAAAATGGAAAGAGTTGAAGATGCGAGTTGCCATGGTTAGTAACAGTTACTAATGTTAGTAACGTGAAGTCTTTTGTGAATAGCTTCCTTTATTCCACGCGTGTAGTACCGAGGGTCTCGGTCAATAATCTTACGCAGACCCATAGAGTATATTAGCCGGTTTCACGCGCCGACGTAATCAGAAACGGTAGGGGTCTGGGTTGGAGCAAATCGCGTTTCTCAGCGGCCGTGTCTGTTGTGTGATTTGATTCTCTCCCAGTCTCCTGTATAACTCTGCTTGCTTCTCCGATGTGTCATTGCCGCACTAACAGGGAATCACGAGACCCACGCCATCTTGGTTGCGCTCTTATTGATAATTGTCCAGTAAGTCCTTGTGTCTTCCGGAGATAAGTTTTCAATTCGTTTGCTTATGAACACTTCACTTCACTTTCGTGTTTGGGGATAACAAACGAGTCGTTTTCTATCTTTCTAGGCCGAGTCATTTGGATCCAATTAATTTAACATAAGTCAGTCAAAACTTTACTTCGCTGACGAAGATTTAAGAAGGCTTTTCTCGTCCAGCGCAGGCTCGTTGATAGCTGACGAGGCCTAAACGAGATAGACAGGTCCTGCCACAATGGCCGCGTTGGGGGAGGGGGGAGGGAAGGAGAGAGATAGGCAGGGATGAGGGGGGAGGATAGGGGCGATGTTGGAGTATTTCAGTTGAAAAATCGGTCCAATTTTAATCAAGGATTAAAATCTGTTAGAAGTTTGAATTTCATGTGAATAAAGGTGCTTTACTAAAATTTTATAAGCTGAAAACAAAATTAGAATGACTCGACAAAAGTTCAACAGAATCAAAAACAATTTGCCTCTTGCCTTTTTTGCCTTGGAAAGTGGGGTTTAGTCTCTCTGTCAGAGCAGAGGGAGGGGTGGCTTAGTTGACGGTGGACTTCCACCTTACCAAAAGGTAATAATAATAACAATGGGAATCTAGAAAAATAAATCGCGTTGTTCAAGTTGCATGGATTTAGCTGGCGTCTTGCATTCAATTCCTTTAACCTGCCATTCCTTTTCTTGTCTGTCTTAAGTCGTGGAAGTTGACTAAATCATCAATATCACATTGGAGTCGGGATTATGAGGTGTGGAAAGGGCATTTAAAGAGAGTGGAAGGTATGAAACAATCTAACAATTGGTGGACTTTTTATATTCTATTTGGAATTGTCTCTGATCCATCTCGTGAGATCCACGCTTGAATAAAATGATCGTAATTATCTTGCTCAATCAGTCAATCAATCAATCAATCAATCAATCAATCAATCAATCAATCAATCAATCAATTATTTATTTTAACACGTTTCGTCGAGGAGCCAAGAACTCGTTCAAAATACGAACGAGTACAAATGATAACTATAGTAATTACAACTAATAATATTATTCTGTTCTAGCTAAGAATAATGTTATTCTATCTTAAAATAACTTCATAGATATATCTAAATTAGAAAATAAATACATAATATATAATTTGCTAAGCCCTACAAAAAAGGAAAAAAGTAAAACTATAAGATAGCTAAAAACGTGACAGAGAAGCTATAAGACACGTTTTAAAAAGCTACAATCTTGCAGTGTACTTATGAAATCATTTACATCACTTGAAAGACGTACCTGAGAGGGCAAACTGTTCCATAAAAAGAAAAACTGAAACTGTAAACGCCGCGTCTTGATAGAAATGTACGTTCATCCCATTTCATACTTACCACTAATACACACAGAAATGGCTCGAAGTTTTGATAATTCCCACCTTTAAAAGTCATACAGCGGCACGCTACCGCTGTCTAAGTAATTAATTATTACTGAAGCAGTTTCATTAGGTATACTATTTCATTTCTATTTTAATCAAACCAGCCGGGGGAGGGGGGAATTCCGATATGGAAAGGTCGGGGATGGTCGTCAGAGAAATTGAATTAAACCCCTAAAGGAGAACAATTTAGACGTAGCCTAAGTTCTATTTGACCTCTAAAAGATACCAGTTAAAACGGAATAGGTCCGATGACCAGCCTCTGCTCAGGAATGGAACCCCGCGCTAGTAGATGGGACTCGAGAGACCGACGGAAATCGAGCCTGGTATAAACGGTAATAAGCGCCCCGACCTCGTCATATGGGTGTCACCCCGGGAAAACAAGTATCTATACAGACGAAATAAGGTACAAAAATGCTTCCCACGTAATGTTAGAACCTAATTACGTGTCACGTTGTTTTACAGGTCGTTTTGGAACTGGAGTTTCCTCGTTCTTTGTTTTCCTTAAGTCACTGCTCTTCCTTAATATTACGACCTTTATTTTGGAGTTTGGACTGGTTACACTACCATCAGTTATCATCGAGAACAACATCACTTCTGGTGCTAACACAAACTCCTGCTATTATGACGAGCTGCACACTCAGAATAAAACAAGTTTCATGACTTTAACACAGCAGGCTGCAGACTTCATTTCAGGGAAGGTAAGGAGCGCCTACCCGAACAATTTTCTGTCCGTTAGAAATGATTTTGTTTGAAGAAGTGTACAATCATTTCAATACATAAGATTTTAACAGTTGAGTGTAATTCTAAAAGGAGGTCGATGTTCACGTCTAGCATTTGATCTCTTTTCTACTGAGAATACATTTAACGAAAATCTGTAAACTTTAGTTTTCGCGAACTAGTTTGAACAACCAATCATAGACCGTACCGTGTTACGTCTCACCAAGGAATTTTTCAGGTAGAGTTCTAAGACGCCCCCCGTGTCTTACACTGATCTTTCTGTTTTGGTGAAGGTAACAATTTGGGCGCAAGATTAGAAATAGGGATTGTAACGGGTGGAGTACAATTCTGGAAGTAATCGCGCGTGTAATTTCCAAATCGGACGAGCGCGCAACGCGAGGCCGATTTGAAATTACGAACTCGATTGCTCGCTGAATTGTACGACATACTTTTCTTGAGCGAAGTCAGTAGTAGGAAGTCATGAAAGCGCAAGTAATCATAAGTATCCAACGACATAAAATTGTAATGGAATACCTTTAATTAAGTAGAAAGAGATTCTTCGTTCTCTGTTTCCGAATCGAATTTGAATTTGGGGGGTTCAGTCAAGAATTTTGCTATAGATACGTACGGTTAACAATGTTAATTACTATTATCGTTTTAAATTATACTGTACTGTAAGGCAAGAAGCATGCTTAAAACGCTGCTACACACGTGATAGTGTTTGTTGAATTTCAGGGCTGGATTAACAGAACTGTTATGTTTTATGCTGGGTATCCTGCCTCCATGTTAATATCAGACGCTGGTGTCACGTACAACCTTCCATTAGCTTACCTGCTGGTTGGTTGCTCGTATTTTGTTTGCAGTCTTTTTATGGTGGTCAGAAGGTCAGTCACATTGAGATTCTCTTCACGATGCCATTTTTTCAAGCAACAGTTTGCCTAAAATATAAAACACGAAAGACCGTGTTTGACCACATTTCCAAACACCGAGAACAGAGGTGAAAATACGACGCGTAACGGAGTATTTTTGACGGGATTTTAGGGCCAGGTTTTTTGAAAGGCGGTGAACGCGTGCGCTAACCCAGGGTAAAAAGTCATCAAAGTATTAATATTTCCTTAAAATAAAAATGTTTTGCACTGCTTATGTTTTGTGTAGGTTAAGACTATTCAAAGCCAAAACCGAGGACAAACAATACTAACAGAAAAACTCACCAAGAGTTACAAAACTGGAATCAAAATTCTCGCTTATCCTGGGTTAACTTAATCGGGCTTTGAACAACCCAGGCCAGGTGTTTAAAAACTTGCATGGTCAAACACCGTCTTGCGTGTTTGATATCTCTTCTCAATCGAAACTAAAACTAAGAAGAAAACGGAGAAATAAAATCGTAAAAGTCTATGCTTATTAAAAGCATATATTTAAAAGCCGTCATGGTCATAATTTCCATTTCTTAAGCTTGATGTGTTAATGCCTAATTCCCTCTACGAGATGGAGAATCATAAAAGTTGTATCATCAACTTGGCCCACCATAATTCCCTGCGCGCGCGTTTTAAGGAGGGAATCAGCCATCTTAATGATTCGAGAGAGACAGTGCAATCAAAGGTTTCACAGGGCTTAATTTAATAAGGTTTAACAGGCTCAACATGCTTTCATCAGGGTTGTACGTGCATATTTGACAGATCTTTAGAGCCTGGTTTTACATAATTACGCACAGTTTCATTTAGGGTTCACATGGATTCATATAGTTTACATATATCAAGGTTTCTGGTAGCAGTTTCTCACTACGTTTTCACCTTGTTAACATCACACATATTTGGGTGGGGATTTAAATTGAGTTTCATTTGGTGTGACATGTTTGCTTAGGGTTCCAAATGATCATTTGTGATTTAAAGTGGTTTTATACATGCATGGTTCAGAGATCTGGCTCACAGCGTTTCATTTTGGTTTTTGGTGTTTAAACTGCGTCTTACATGAATTAAACGTGATTTCAAACGAAATTATATGTTTTCACATGGCTTCGTAGAATTTCCCGTTTGTCAGTGTTTCGGTGGGGTTTCATGTAGGTTCCGCAGGTTACCTGAGTTTTATTAGGTTTTTTTTTTACCAGATTTTTCAGAATTCCACAGGGTTTTAGAAGACTTACCAACGTTTTATCAAGATATCGCTATGCTGATATGATTCTTGTCATCCTTAAAGTTGGCGGTTGTTTGACTTTATTGTTTAAATCCTGTTTGTTTAGTTTAGGAACGAGTCTCCGAGAAAGCTACGTAGAAAGCGGCGGAACATCCACGTCTTGCAGTAACAGTATTTTTGCTGCCTGGGATTTCTGCATTACACATGAAAACACTGCCAAAGCAAAAATTCAGACCATTGGACAGAACTTCAGGGTACGTTCCTCTGGAATAACTTGATTTCCAGTTTTTTTAATCATCCCTTTGCTGCTCCTTCTCTCTCACTACCTCCCCCTCTACCACGCCCCTTTTCTCCCTCTCTACCATTACGTCATACCTACGTGTTTTAAGGTTTCCATAGCACCCGTGGGGGCTCGTGCTAGTTTTCGATTGGATGGTATGATTCGGACTTCTGCAACTCCCCCTACGGCGTGACTGGTTCCTCAACTATGAAATGAGCGCAGTAACCATAGAAACAGTTCGACCTCAGATTGCGTGACGAAAATAACAAAACCTTATTGTTACTTATTCGAGAGAGAAAACTTAACTTGGCGAAAATGGAACTGGCATATTTCGCAAGACTTAAATTTCGCGATTTGGCCAAAAAATACGTTAAAAGGAACTAAATTTCGCGAAAATTTTCGAAATGCTAATTTTCATTCAAAACCAATTAGCCTCAGAATTGGTATAATAAATTTTCTATAGCAATAGTTTCCAATGATACTTAACAAAACCATATAACAAAACTAATACTCAAAACAATTTGACATGCTCCTTTCCAACAAAACAAAACCGTACAAAGTGCATGACACGGTCTATTTGCGCTTACAGCGGTAGGACATTGTCAATTTCTTAAAATGAATCCTGGAAGGAAGAGATGACTCGCCCTTTACTACCCCAGCAACTCTTGTCCTTTCCCATCGCTCATTGCTAGTCAAGTAGTGGTGAAGGCTTAACATCCACGTTGTATAAAGAATTATGTAGTAGGTTATCAAATATCGTGCGGTTAATATCCACTATAATTAAAAAATTGAGAAGTCTGGCGAAAATAAGTAGCAAGAAGGTATCTCTGCCGGCTTCCCAATTCTTAGTCAGTTGATTGTCAATCTCTGGGCGAGAGTTCGCATTCCCCTTTAGTGCTGCATTGATAGTAAGAACCCATGTCACGAACTCCAGTACGCGGTATCTAAGCACGAGATAGGCTAGATTACCAGGCGCCGTCCTGGAAAGGTGCCCGCGCTCCTCCGTCAAAGTCTCCTCTCGGGAAGGAATACAGATCAGACACGAGAGAGCAGCGGAAATTGAGCGTAGTCACGAGATGACTGTAATGTATGTTGTCATTTTTAGGCACAATTTGCAGAAGAGGAACGACGGATCAAAGTAGAAAGTCGAACAACACCGGCAAAGTGCGGACTTTACACTTTGAGAACTTTGTCCACTCTGCTGGTATTGGCGCTGTTAGGAGGTGCTATTTATGCCATTGTTTTTGCCGTTGCAATCTCTACAGACCCTGTAAGTACACTTACTAATATACGGCTACCACAGAATGACACAATACTGTCACTGATTGGCGATTAACATAAAGGCGCTCCAAGACCACACGCTCAAAATTAAAACAGGTTATATGAGTGTGGTCACGTGCTACAAGAAGCAGTTCGCGCAACTTTACCCGGGTTAAACGAGAGGCTTTGAGAATCTGTCGGGGCTGTTAGCTCTCAGAAGAATTAAGAACTGTCATGGCAAGAAAAAGATAAATAATGAAATACGGTAAACTTTCAGCTCGGTGAATAAATGGCAAACGTGAAATGTTTCTTTTCTCAAGAGCGTGAGACAGAGAAATAATCTAAGTCACCGAGAGGATTCGAACCCATGACCTCCCAGATACCGGTTTGGAGCCGGCTCTAATCGAGGTCATGGGTTCGAATCCGGTTGGGGACTCAGATTTGTTCGATGTCCCACGCTCACGACAAATGCAAATTTCATCTTTATAAAAGAACAAGATCATTATCGTGTTCGATAGCCTCCCATAAAGACGCTCTCAGGGCTCGTCCCGCGTTCCTTCGTGGGGAAGGAACACGTGACGAGCCCTAAGAGCGTCTGCACGGGAGGCCACGTAACA